GAGGCCGGCACGGGTCAGTGCCGCCAAAACGCCCCTTCCTGCCTTCTTTTCCACCCAAAATTGCGCTTTCTGAGTGGCTTTTTTTTCACCCCGCTCTGGCTACAGGCAGCAACTTTGGCGGCGGCGGTAACTACAACGATTTCGGCAGTTACAACAACCAGTCGTCCAATTTCGGCCCCATGAAGGGCGGCAACTTCGGTGGCCGGAGCTCGGGACCCTATGGGGGCGGTGAGTGATGTCACCCCCCCGGCTTGGTGACAATGGGGACGATTGTCCCCCGACACCCCCGTCACGGAGCCTCCTGTCCCCACAGGCGGCTACGGCAGCTCCAGCGGCGGCGGCAGCTACGGCGGCGGCAGGAGGTTTTAACGCCCAGTAGGTGCCACGTGGGTGTCCCCAACGTGTCCCCAAGGCCCCCCCGTCCCCCCCCCCGCACCCCGTTAACTCTTCTTCCCTGTTATCCCACAGGTGCCCGACCTTTAGCAGGAGAGAGACCCAAAAATCCCGGGAGGAGCCGCAGGTGCCGCCGCTGGCGCCGGCTGCGCCGGGGGGGGCGCTCCCCGAACCGCGTTTTCGACGAAAAACCACCGAAACGCCCCAAACAGCCCCCCCGCCCCCCCCCCGCGGCGGCCTCCGCGCGCAGGACTCGCTCTCGTGACTGTCCCCAGGTTTTCGGCGGGACGGGGGCCGCGGGCGCCGCTTCCCGTCGCGCTGTCGCTCGCTGCCTGTACCCGATCTTGACGTTGAATAAATGTGTCTTTTTTTTTTTTTAATTTTTTAATATATTTTTAGTTATTTTGCCATAATTCGCGTGCCCCCACCTGGGTGGATCCCCCTCGGAGGGGGACCCCCCCTTGGTTTGGGGTCGCACAGGCGATGCTGTCCTGCTCTCCCTCTCCCTGCTTTGTCCCTTGTGTCCCCGCTCCTGGGGACATTGCAGGGCTCTTTGGGACACACGTGCCCCCCCCATACCCTGTACTGGCTTCCCTGCCATGTGCCCCCTGTCCCCTCATCCTTGTGGCTTTACCTCCCCTGGGGGGGTCCCCTTGGGGCACCCCCCTTCCCCATTGCTGCCCCCCCTTCAAGATTCCCCTTTTGCCCCCATTTAAGCCAGGCCAGAGCCCCTGCTGTATCTGTCCCCCTAGATCCAGAGCCGTCACTTTCCGCTCTGTCCCCCTGTCCCCACTGCTGTCGGGGGGGGACACGAGGTGACCCCCCCCGGTCCCCTTACTAACCGCCCCTCCTCTTCCCCGTCCTTGGCTTTTTGTAGGATCCAGAGAGGAACCTGGGGCCGCTAGCGCAGGTGAGCGGGGACATGGGGACCCTGGGGACATTGGGGATGCAGCGGGGGTGACATTGGGGACACGGGGACACGCTCACGGCTCTGCCCTTCGTTGCAGCGGCGGCGGTGCGAGCCCGGACGCGGCGCTGCCAATAAAGGGTATTTTTGTAGCCGCGTCACCTTTGTCCTGCGTGGGGACGGGGACAGTCTGGGGACAGCGCTGGGGTGGCCGAGGGAGCGCGGTGGGGATGAGGGACACGGCCGGGCTGCAGGGGACAGGGAGCAAAGTGGCGCTTGTGGCACTCGGGGACAGCAGAGGGACCGAGGGGATAGAGCCGGGGACGGGGCAAGGACGGAGGGGACAGGGATGGGGACAGGATGGGATTTGGGGACCCCCTGGGGAGGGAGGTGACCTGGGGGCACCTGGGGACCTCATGGGAATGCAGGTGACAAGGATGGGGACAGGGCTGCAGACAGGACAAGGACTGAGGGACAGGATGGGGCTTGGGGACCACATGGGCATGGAGGGGACAAGAGGGATAAGACAAGGACAGGGGTGACAGGGACAGCAGGAGGCTTGGGGACAAGATGAGCTCGGGGGGACAGAGATGGTGCTGGGGACCAGATGGGGATGGAGGTGACAGGGATGGGGCTGGGGATGTTAAAACAGAGGTATTGGGGACAGGGTGGCTCTTGGGGAGCAGTTGGGGATGGAGGTGACAAGGCTGGGGACAGTCGGGGGCTTGGGGACCAGTTGAGTGTGGAGGGGACAGGACTGGGGACAGGACGGTGACAGGGGACAGGGATAGAGGACCTGGGGAGGGGGCGCAGGGGACAGGACTGGGGCCATGGCAGGGGGACAGGGCAGGGACAGGAGATGGGGACAGCAGAGTGTCACTTAGTGTGACAGCGGTGAGAACGGGGCGACGCAGGGACAGTGGCACCTCGCACAAGGGCACTGTCCAAGGTGCATCATTGCCAGGGGTCCCAGGGGGCCCCGGGGTCCCCAGGGTGTCCCCGTGGTGCTGGGTGCGACAGGGACCGCCAGGGGGCAGAGCTGGGGCCACCCTGGGAACCCCGGGACTTGTGACGGGGACAGGGGGGCACTGCGGACACCCAGGGGTGCTCTAGGTCGCCGTGGGCTGCGGGGTGCCCCGATGAGCACCCGAGGGTGCGGGATGTCACCAAGGCCACCCTGGGTTGTGGGGTGTCCTCAGCTGCACCTAGGGGTGCTCCCATATGCCCTGCAGTGCAGGGTGCTCCAGGGGAACCACAGGGCACCCCGGGGTGTCATGGGGGGCCCCGGGGACCCCGTGGGAGGTCGCACAAACATCCACCCGGGGCTGCCGTCCCCTGTCCCTGTCCCCTTGCACAAGGGGTCCCAGCCCCGCACGGGGGCACCCTGCTCTGCTGCTGGTCACCCTGCACCCACCCGCCGAATCCCCCGGGGCCGCGAGCGCCGGGACGCCCGCGGGGCCGGCAGCGTCACCAAACGCTCCCGCTCCGGGGCCGCCCCGCGCGGGGCCGGGCTCCGGCGTCGCGCGGCCGCTCCCGCCATTCCCGGAGTGCCGGGCCCGGCTGCCGGGCTAATCATTGACCAGCGCCCGCTGCGCAGATCCAAGGTCCGAGACCCGCGTCCCCCGCGTGCGCCGCGTGCCCCGCGTGCCCCGCGTGCCCGCCGCCGGGATGTGGCTGCTGCTGGCGGCGCTGGCCGCGCTCTGGCTGCTGCGCCGCTGGCACCGCGAGCGGCAGCAGGTGGC